CAGTTTGACCCTTTGTAAAGAGATGATGGGAGGGTGACTGTGGTTCTCATGAAACCTGTATAATTACTTAACCTAATTTCCACTGTGCAGGAGTCTGTAAGCCCAGAAGGCTCTCCGAAGTTGTTTTCTTCTTTAAACCAGGAGGTAGCCTCAAACTATGCCTTACCCTGGTCAGTTCTACACCAGGAGCAAAGGAAGTGCAAACTGCTGTCAATGTTTGCTGCTGAAGGGCTTTGATCATGATGGATTTGATGTAAATGGTGAGCAAGGCTGTCGTTACAAAGTACTGCCCCACACTGTGTGAGTCTTAGCACATGCCGTAGTTTCAGTGGATCGGTTCTCAAAACCTTCCAGTAAGCAGTGAGTGGAAAATACAAATGCATACTTATATTTAACAATGGCAGGAAGAAGAATATTTTTAATGAGAGAAAAAAAAAGTGGCTTTACTTAAAATGGAATTTAAAGTCTCATTGTAGCTGATAGCTATATGTTTTATCTTGTGGCCTTTTGAATACACATTTTTTTATGGACCAGGAAAATGCCTCTGAGAAGATCTCTGGGATGTTGTTGTTTTCTCTGCTGTGACGTAAGGCAGGAGCACACAAGTCAGTGTTTTTCTTCTTAAGCTTACATTAATTTATTTTGACAGCATTTTTGACCCATGTAGTAGCTTAGGACTATCTGTTTGTGCTACCTTCCTATTTCAGACAAGCGATGCTTTGCGTGAGACTGTTAATTTGGCAAAGGGCATGGGTTCACATTTGGTTTTCATAGACTGATAGATTTAAAGGCCAGAAGAGACCATTATGATCATCTAGTCTGACCTCCCACTTCAATCAGGGCACAAGCCTCACGCAATCGTTACTGCAACAAGATCATGACTTCAGTGTGAGCTAGACAGCAGCTTAAAGAAGGCATACAGTCCTGAGTTGCCTTCCTCTGATTTTTAGCATTAATTTTTCCAACTTCAGACTCCAGTCCCTGGATCATATAATTTTATAGGCATGCAGAGTCAAAATGAAACATCATGCTCAACTGTCCTTTTCAATTACATGTCTGTGATTCCATCTACTTGGATTTATCCCAAGATTATAGGAATATTTATGTTGTATCGTTGTCAGACCATGCTAAATGGACAGTAAGCATTCTTCTCACTTCATACTTGATATTGCAAAAACAGTTGCAAAGCACGCATGAAATGTCAAGATCTTGAGCTAGCAGTATTCAGGCTATGTCAGGAAGGATTCAGCTTGGTTTTTGGTTTTTGAGAGCAGTTTGATTCCACTGAGTTAATGTGCATAAAGCCTGTTCACAAAGCAAATGCACAACTATTGTCCTTCTTTTAAAAACCAACCCCTGCATTTCTAGGATCAGTTTTTAATAGAGAGGTAACAATGAGAATTGGCAAGTGACAAAAAAAGATAAGGAAAGGCAGGTGGAAATGTGTAAGAAATTATGATTTATCTGGAATATTTAAAAAAAAAATGGTTGTAATTTGGTTCACCTAAGAGAATGGCAATAGAACATTTGGTGGGAGGAAGGAAGATACTTTGAATAAGCTTATTCTGCCACTCATCTTCACACACACTCATCATAGCGTGGGAGCACGCTTTCTTCAGACTTAAAACCTGGCTACAATTCACTGTCCCAGGAATTCTGGTCTACAGCACTGGATCAATTTTTCAAGATGGCCAGAGCTCCAAATTTGTCATTGAAGTTTTACATAACCTGGGAAGTTTCAGGTGTGGATGTGAAGTGGGTTTGTGACACTTGGAAAGTCTGTGAGCAAGTTAAACTATTTCTGAAATTTAAAAGCCTTTCAGGCCCTTTCCAGCTCCCCCTGTGCAGAGTAAAGAAAGAGTGCAGGGCTTGAACTCCCCTTCTGGTACATACTATCATGTGGTAGACAAAGTGGTGCCATGGTCCATATGGGAATGGAATAGGGGAAAGAACGAGAGGAAGACACTGCCAAGAGAAAAAGAGGGTAAACATACTGCAAGAATTGATCGAGTTTTATAACCTTTAAAACTTTCAAGTCAGGCCAGTTTTAAGAGCTGCCATTCAGTACTTACCCTAGTGAAACTGAAAAGATTGACATTAATTTCAGAAAGCAGCTGCCAGGTTGTTGCTATTTAGTAAAGCATTAATATAAACTGATGTTCTTCAACAGAAGTTTATCAAAATTCTGATACTTCTTGACTTAAAAAGACACCGCTCTCTTGCATACCAAACTGCAAGGAAACAAAATTTCAGGCTTTACAGTTTGAAAATGAGACACAATTTTCACAACTGGGAAATGCAGAGGACATCAAGAGACCTATGTGAAACCATAATAATGGGTTTATGTGTGTATTCACTGGATAGAGAACATATTCTAAAATTTTGTTCTTTGTCCAGGATTTTAAAATATTCTGGATATAATAATTGCTATTTAATCTATGGGTAAATAAATTTCTGTTTCGGAGAAAAGTACTTACTCTTCATATATTAATGGCCTTAGTTCAAGACACTTTCAGGTTAATGAAAATCACTGCAGTATTCCATAACAGCTTTGAGAATATTTTTTCTTAATAGTATGTGAAGGTCCCAACTCTTAGCATTTATTTTGTCCAATAATACATTTGAAATCAGGCAATCCCAATCAAGAATTTACATTTTTCAATTTAAATCTTTTGGTATAAAATATTAGAACATGTAAAAAATGAATATATGGGCAGTAAGAAGGTATATAAATATCATTTCAAGAGTACTTGCACATTTGGACCCCCCTTAACAAACTGTTTTTTAAAGACAAAGGTTATCTGATACTGTAACTGTATAGGGTATTTTGAATTTGCATGTGAGTCTCAGCTCTGCAAAGGGACATCTACCAGCACAGCAAACATGCCTTTGCAATTAAGCGATCATTCACAGTACAGCTTATGGAAATATAAGATACAGCTCAAACTGTTCAGTAAAGAATGCCCTTCCTTGTTACTCTTTGTTTTAATGGGCTATAAAATAAATGCAGTGTAGAAGGGATTTTTACAGCCAGAGCTTGTGATACACGATATGCATGGCTGTGCTGGGAGGAAAATGCCAAAATTATGTTCTTCAAACACCCATCACGCTTCTCGGAAGGGTTATATACGTAAAGCCATCAAACTCCTGTGCTATCTTTAATGCAACAGGACTGACTGCTCCTCTGGTGTTTACAGCATCAGCCCTGATAAATGCCAAAGTACG